CGTGCGCAAGACCGGAAGTTCTCCAAGCCCTGACCCGGAAGAAAAGGAAAACAACCACCCGAAAGCACCGTGGAAGGTGCTCTTGGAGCGCGGTCGGATGGAAGCCGGCTAGGGCGTCCGTTGTTAGGTTGGCGGGTTGGGTTTCGGCCCAACTCCGGGCCTCTTGACAAGGTTAGTTTTGAGCGGGACGGGGTGCGTCCACATTCTGGCAGCAGCGTGTGTGCGTGCAAGTTCGCTAGCCAGGAGAACCTAGACCAATGCTCCAGACACGCACGCCAGAGGCCGACGTGCCGGGGACCCAAAAAATCCTAAACTAAACCCGTTGCCGTCAGTCTCTTCCGACAGCGATATGATAGCAGAAAGTAGAACAGGTTTTCCAAGACTTTAAGTCTACAGGCGAAACTGCTGCAGGGCGGCTAGTGTTTTTGAACTTGGCAGCACCAGCCACTAAAAGAATGGCGTGTATTTAAGCTGTGACCCTTTGTAAAGAAAGGCTTCCAAGAAATGGTTGTGTGCTTTGGGTGTCCTATGTTACCTTCCCTGCCGAGTCGATGCCGACTCATATTTCACAGCTGTTGACAGGCATCCTTAAGACGGGGTGTCTTAATCGTCAAGAACATTTCACGAACACTTGTTAAACATGCTTTAAATTTTTTCCCCATGCATAGTATTCCTCTTGTTTTAAAAAAAAAACAAAAACACAAACTCCCTTACATGTTTAAACTACGACTTTAGTTTTTAAAAAAACGAATAAAAGAATTCAACGGATTCTACCACATGCAAGAAGGAAGGACATTTAAAAAAATTAGCCAGCCTTTAATTGCTTAGGAACTGGACATGAGTCTCCACTGTCGTGACAGCTTAGGATGAATAACGGGGTGAAGCTGAACCAGTACCTCGGGAGTGCTGTATTCGTTAGGGTTGTCTAGTCTTTTGTGAAATGAGTGATACCACAATACTTGTCCTAAATAAATTTTACTCTAATAAATTCAAGCCAGAGTGCTTCCCATCCCAACATGCACATTAAAATCACACACGGAGAACTTTTATACACTCATTCCCAGAGATTCTGATTTATTTGGAATGAGGTAAAAGAATTGGCATTTTAAGATCTCCTCCAAATGTTTCAAATATGCTGCTAAAGTTCATAGATTGTGAATCGGGAGTGAGCCATGGTAATGGTTTTTGTTTTCACCAACAAAATATTCAAAACCCTCTTTCCTTTTGAAACATTATGGAACAATAGTATAGAATACATCCAATCTATGAATGTCAAAGTGAGCCTTATAATTGGCCCTAGCTTTAAAAAAAATTTTTTTTTAGAAATCATTTTATTGGGGGCTCTTACAGTTTTTATAACAATCCAATCATCAGTTGTATCAAGCACATTTGTACATACGTGGAAATGGCCCTGACTTATGTTAAACATTACTCAGCATTTATTTTGTGTTAAATAAAGGCAAAAGACCTTATGAATTAGACTAATCCCTGCCCTTAGTGAACTCAATTTACTACTACAGAATTGATAAACTATACAATGTTAGCTTAAAAATAATTCTTTTTACAAATACAGTAATACCTTGGTTATGGAACAGCTCCAAGCTAGAACTTTCCACTACTCTAAGCAACAAAGTCCGACAAAAAAATCTGCTCAGTGTTTAACTCTGCTTGAAAGTCAAACCAAAATCCTACATGAAAAAAACCTCTAAGGACCAATAAGGAGTCAAAAGTAGTGCCTTGGCTCAGACACAAAGGAATGACACTTCAGTCTTAACCACCATTCTATACGGACAGCATAATAGTGTTTGCGTTAGTGCATTAAAACCTTCATCATCCAGCTCGCTCCTGTGCTTTATTTGCATAAGATATTGTATCCATGGTTCTAAAGAAAGTGATACCAGCAGTGAAGCTGAGAGAAACGGACAGCCACAATAAGGAAAGGAACCCTTGCAACATTTGAATCAGGCTGCTGCTTGTGTGATTTATTGGCTGAATACAACATGGCTAAGTCAACATTATCAGCATTTTTGGGAAAAAAAGAAAAACTGTGATTAAAGCAGCTAATGTAGCAAAGGTGTGAAATTATTAAGCACAAAATCATCCAGACCAGCAAGAAAGTCGAAAAGTTGTTAATTTGGAAAAATCAGAAACAACTTGATAGTGATGGTGTATCTAAGACAGTAATGTGGGAGAAGGCTAAAAGCCTCCATAGTGATATGATTTAATGAATCATAAATTTCTATTTATAATTAGGAAAAATTTATAAGTATAATTTGGGGGCCTCAGAACCAACTATTTGGTTTTCATTATTTCATATGGGAAAAATATGTTTAGCTCTGGAACTTTTTGGTGTTTGAACACAAATTTGGAACGAATTAACTTCGACAACCAAGAATCCCTGTAACAGGTTTTGGTAACTAGGACAGTCGAGTCTTGATCATGTGATGCTCTAAGAAGACTATGACAAACCTTCATGGAACTTGTCAAAAATGTTGCTTCATTTTGCAAAACCATATGCAATTATTGCAAAATAAATTACATTCCACCCACTGTCATTGAGTCCATCCAATCCACAGCCACGCAATATAGGGTTCCTGTGGCTGTAAACCTTTAGGAGAGAAGACACCCTAACCTTTCTCCTGAGGAATAGCTGACAGGTTTGAACCATTGGCCTTGGGGCTAGCAGCCCAAGGGTGACCCAACAGCACCACCGGGCTCCTTGTTTGTCTGTTTTTAATTCTGATTAACGTACGATCTTTTCCATTAAGAGGGATTTTTTAAAACCTCAAGCATTTTATATTTGACTGCTAGATACCCTGCTGAGGCTGTTTTACTCCTTAACCTAGGGAAAGGATGGTAGGAAGGCAAAAATATATAACCATTTAGTTGATCGTGTTTGTAAATGGATAGCAGGTCCTATCAAGAGTTAACCCACCCACGGTCTTAGAGTCCAATCAGACCTGCACTGTGGAATACATTGTTCCCTAACGTTTCCAAGGCTTTCACCCTCATGGAAGCAGTTGGCTTCCTCTTTGTCACAAGGAGCAGCTGGTGGCCTGGAACTTTCAGCCTTACCGTTAGTGGCCCAGCACTTAACCCACGACCCACTAGGCTCCTTAGCAGGAGTCGGATGGACTTGATGGCAATGAGTTAATTTGTTCACCAAAGCAGTTACTAAAAGGTCACTCACTGCCATCGGGTCAATTCTGACTCATAGTGACCCTATACAGCAGAATAGAATTGCCCCTGTGGTATTCCAAGACTGTAACTCTTTGCACATGTAGAAAGCCTGTGTTTCTCCCTCTGAGCTGTTGATGGTCAAACATTGGGGTACACCCACCAGGGCTCAGAATTCAGGATTGGAAGAATGAGAAATACCCAAGAAAATGGTTCCTTGGAGATAAATGCAAGCTTAAGAAAAACAGTGCAGAGCTCCACCTTTCCCCCAACTTGAGCTGAAGAATTAGCCAGATGAAAGCAAAATAAAATCCTGAGCAAGGAAGACCTGGAGCCGGAGGAGTAATTAAAACACTCATTTGTAAATGGTGGTTCCACTCTTCTTGAGAATAATGCAGCAATATGTTCCTTATAACACATTTATAGCCTTGGTGTACCAGTTATACATTGGGCTGCTAACTGAAAGGCCAGCAGTTCAAAGCCACCAGCCACTCCACCGGAAACAGAATTCTCCCTTAAAGATTTGAGTCGCAGAAACTCACAGTGGCTCTTCCACCCTGTCCTATCCCTATCACTATGAGTCAGCATCGACTCAGTTTTTGGTAAATGTTGTAGGGAAGTTTTACTCTAGAATCAATATCCTAGGCATTAGTGAGCTGAAATGGACCGGTATTGGCTATTTGAATCAAATGCTATACTAAGCCTGGAAACAATCAAGAGGAATGACGTATTCATAGTCAAAAAGTACATTGAAAGATCAGTCATGCAGTACAATGCTGTTTGTGTTTAGATCATATCTATCCACCTTCAAGGAAATCCAATCAATACAACTATTTTAAAAATTTGTGGACCAACAACAAGAGCTAGGGGAAAAAATTGAAGAATTCTACCAATGACTTCCATTGGCTATTGATCAAACATGCAGTCAAGGTGCATTGATAATTATTGGCTATTGGAATACAAAATTTTTAAAGAGAGAGGAAGGAACAGTATTTGAAAAATATAGACTTGCTTGACACAAGGGATGTATGTATGGATTGTGATGAGTTGTACGAGCCCCCAATAAAATGATAAAAAAAAGAAAAGAAAAATATACACTTGGTGATAGAAATGAAGCTGGAGATCAAATGATAGAATTGTGCAAAGCCAATGACTTATAGCAAATACCTTTTATCAAAACACAAAAGGCAACTAACTATACACGTGGATTCCAGATGGAATGCATAGAAAAACTGACTGCATCTGTGGAAAGAGATGATAAAGAAACTTATCATCTGTTTATAGCAGCAGCTATAAACAGAAGGAGCTCATG